GACTTAAGTATTTAACCCGTCTAAGTATTTCTCTTACCAGGAAAAGGGGTCCGGACTTCTGACCCCTATGGTAGCTACATCTTGACTTCCTGTGTTTCTCCTACCCAGAGTCATCCTTGACTCCTAGTCCCAACAATCTTGTTTCCCTATTGGCCAACAGTTCTTTATTGGCATATACACAGGACTTCCCCCATCATAGGGCCACCTAATTAGGACTCATATTAGTAGCTTCCCTACTGGGTGATTGGAGATCAAATGACTCAGATAGCACAGTAGACAGGTCCCTAGTCTAGAAAGTTTGTATTTAAGTTGACATTAATCCTATCATGTTCCTCATCCAAACACAGTGTCCTTTGTGTGCACATTCCATTACACACTCAATGTAGCGTGCCTCAGAGCTGGGAAATCCTGCAGCTGAATACAGGTCACGTTCAATAACTGTTGTTTCTGTGTAACTCAGTTACAGGAAAACAGGCAGGCCAGGTGGTGGTTTTGCATGCCTTTAATCCCAGCACTCCAGAGGCAGAGGTAACTGGGTCTCTCTGATGTTAAGACCAGCCTGGTCTACAAGAGCTGGTTGCAGGACAGCCTGCAAAGACACATAGAAACCCTGTCTCAGGAAAATAAAAACAAAAACAAAAAATAGAAAAGAAAAACAGGCCATGAATTAGAAAATAGTGGGGCATTAAAAGGGCTTGTAGACAGAAAAGACAATGTGACTATGATGCATTTATAATCTCAAAACCTATTTTAAAAATTTGAAACTGGCTTTAGGGCGATGTGCTCCAGAGACTAGAGAGCACAGTAAAGAATACTCATAGCTTTTCTATAAAGATGAACACCATAAACAAGAAAAATACCAGTCCTTAGAAGTGGACACTTCTTGTTAAGCAAAATAAAATCACACAGTCAGGTTATCCCTAAAATAATTTCTTTTTTACTTTCTTTTCTTTTTTGAGACAGGTTTTCTCTGGCTTTGGAGCCTATCCTTTACCTTGCTCTTGTAGACCAGGCTGGTCTCTAACTTGCTGAATCCTGCCTGCTTCTGTCGCCTGAGTGCTGGAATTAAAGCCATGCGCCACCACAGCCCAGCCCCTGACATCATTTTATGAGTACACCATTGACATGAGAAAACAGGTCATTCTTCAGAGACAGGATCCAGAGGTCAAGGTCTTAGGGGATATGAAAGATAGGACAAGAAGAAGGTAGAAAAGATAAATGCTAGGTTGGGGAGGTATTGTAGAGGATATGCGCCAGACTTACAAAGCTTCATAAGATTAGCATCTTGTATACTACTTAAATGGAGTGGGTAGATGAATGGAAATAGGAGAATTATATGAAATCATTAAAAACTATCATATAATGGGAGAAATTCAGAAAAGGCTAATAAAACAGTGTCACACAATGAAACTGAGTATCTCAAGAACATCAGTGAGTTAATATCAGGAATTTAATTTGAATTACAGTCTATCTGTCAATTTTTGTGTCAATACCAAGCTTGTTTAAGGACTATAGCTCTGTAATGGAGCTTGAAGTCAGGGATGGTAATGCCTCTGAAAGTTCCTTTATTATACAGTGTTGTATTGGATATCCTGGGTCTTTTGCTTTTCCATATAAAGTTGATTATTTTTCTTTCAAGTTCTGTGAAGAATTGTGCCAGTATTTTGATGGGGATTGCACTGAGTCTGTAGATTGCTTTTGGCAAGATTGACATTTTTACTATGTTGATCCTCCCTATCCAAGAGCATGGGAGATCTTTCCATTTTCTTGTATCTTCATTAATCTCTTTCTTTAAAGATTCAAAGTTCTTGCTATATATGTCTTTTAGTTGTTTGGTTAACCCTAAAACTGATATTAACCCACACTCCTGCAAACACTTGATTTTTGACAAAGAAGCTAAAATTTAACAATGGAAAAAAGAAAGCTTCTTCAACTAATAGTGCTGGCATAACTGAATGCTGGCATGTAGAAGACTGCAGATAGACCCATGTATATTGCCATGAAAAAAACTGAAGGGCAAATGGATCAAAGAGCTCAACACAAGGCCAGCCACAGAGAACCTCTTAGAAGAGAAAATGGGAGGTATCCTTCAACAAATTAGTGCAGGAGACCACTTCTTGGACATAACACCAGTAGCACAGTCACTGAGATTGACAATTATTGGTACCTCCTGAAACTTAGAAGCTTCTGTAAGGCAAAGGACACAGTCAACAATACAAAATGCCAGCCCAAAGAATGGGAAAAGATATTCACTAATCCCACATCTGACTGAGGACTTATCTCTAAAATTTAAAAAGAACTCAAGAAGCTACTCTCCAAATCCCCAGAGTCCAATTACAAAGTGTGGTACAGGACTAAATAGAGAATCTTCAATAGAGGACTCTAAAATGACTGAGAGATGCTTAAGAAAGTGTTCAAAACCCTTAGCCATTAGTGAAATGCAAATCAAATCAACTCTGATATACCATCTCACACATGTCAGAATGGCTAAAATCAAAAACATCAGTGACAGTTTATGCTGGAGAGGATTTGAAGAAATAGAACACTCCTCCTACAGCTACTTTGGAAAACAGTATAGAGATTTCTCAAGAAAATGGGAATCTGTCTACCACAATATCCAGCAATTACACTCTTAGAAATATACCCAAAAGATGTGTATTCATAAAATGAGGACATCTGTTCCATGACATTCATAGCAGCATTATTTGTAAAACTAGAACCTGGAAGCAACCTAGAAGCCCCTCAACTGAAGAGTGCATAGAGAAAATGTGGTATATATACACAATGGAGTACTACTCAGCAGAAAAAAAATGGACTCTTGAAATTTGCACACAAAAGAATGGCACTAGAAGAAACCCAGTAAAAAAAGAAAAACATGGAACTATTCACTCATATAGGGATTTTAGACATGAAAAGGGGAGTGCTAGCCTACAATCCCATAGCCAGAGATTCTGGGAACAGGGAGATATCTACCACAGTACCTCAGAAAAGAGGAATGAGACAGGATCTCCTGAGTGGACTGGGGGGATAGGAGAGGATACAGGGAGCTGAGCAAAAGTGAGGGGGATAAAAGAATGGGAGATGGGGATATGGGAGAGGAAGAAGATTGAGTCAGGGGAAGAATACAGGAGAGCAGAATGAGAGATACCATAATAGAGCGAGTCATTATAGGTTTGAGAAGGGATCTGGCACTAATGAAATTTCCAGTTATCTCCAAGGATGACACCAACTGGCTTTCTAAGTAATAGTGGAGAGGCTACCTTAAATGCCCTTCCCTGATAATGAGATTGACAACTACCTTATATGTGATCCTAGAGTCTACGTCAAGTGGCTGCTACAAGCAGAGACAAACTGAACTCCTGGAACCCAGTTGCAGATAGGGAGGAGAGATGAGCATAGCGGTCATGACCAGGTAGGTGAAACACACAGAAACATCTGACCTGAACAAGGGAGGTGCTCATGAACCCTAGACTGGTAAATGAGAGGCCATCATGGGACTGATCCAGACCCCCCCCTGAATGAGGGTGTCAGTCAGGAGGCCTCAGCACTCACTGGGGACTCTGGAACTAGATCAGTATTTATCCATGGCATCGGAAAGGACTTTGAAAGCCCATTCCATATGGAGGGATGCTCTCTCAGCCTGGACACACAGGGGAGGGCCTAGGCCTTGCCCCCAATAATATGACAGGATTTGGAGATGCCCCATGAAGGGCCTCACCTCCCTGGAGAGTTGAGTCGGGATTGGGTGGGGTTTATGGGGGTTGATGGAGGGCAGGGAAGGAGAGGAGGGAGAGGGAGCTGGGATTGACATGTGAAGCAAGCTTGTTCCTAATTTAAGTAAAAAAAAAAAAAAAAAAAGGACTAAAAACATGACTGAGTAAAGACACAGTGACCTTAGGACATCAACAATAGCTCCATATGGTGGGAAGAGCTGGGATCTCAGGATTAGAAGCAACCCTTCCATAAGTCTCTGATCCCAGACCATTACCAGCTCTCCCTAACATATTGCAGGTGTTAGAGAAGGAGATCTGTTTCATTTTCAATACATGAGGCCATTAGAGAAACCTCCCTAGCCCTAATCCACAGTCTGCACTAACTTTCCCAAGAATGTTCCTCATCCAGCATGAGGGCTTAGAAGAAAGCCTTGCTTGATGAGATAAGTTCTTAGCACAACAGTATTTTATTTACAAATAATTGTCTTCTGGTGTCATACTACCCACCTGGCAAAACAAGAATTTTATGACACCAGGATTTGCTGTTTGTTGTGACCCTGTAATGCCTCCTTGAGCAGCTTGGCAGAGGCCTGTTCTTTGATATGGGGATGGGCCTAGTGGGTGGTTGTAAATCAGGGGTGGCCTCCTTGTAATGATTTGCAGTTAAATGCCAGGGCAATCCTGATGAACAAATGAGTATCCTAGCACCCAAACAAGACTGGTTAGCATATACTTATATACTTTGATTTGGGTGTTTCAGAGCCAGTCCTCCCTCAGCTCAATTCTATTGTGGGAGACAGACTATTTCCTAAACATTAACAAATCCTTTATGTCACCAAATTCTACTGTTTTACATTCTGGCCTCATGGGGGACTGCTATCCAACATATCAGATGCCTCTGGACAACCTACACAACAGTAACTATAGACGGAGATTTCATATAAATGTTAAATGCAAAATGTGGAATGCAAAGAATATACTGGGAAAAGTAGGCCTCTCTGAGTTAGGCACGCTGCTTTCCCTATATACATCATGAATGTTGAAGTTGAGTAGAAAGTTGTTTCTGCACACATCCCCCTGCTCCCAAAGCTCTGATCATACTCAGCCCACAGAGAAAAGTTAATGAGAGACCTCCCCCTAGGACAAAGAATTTTCAAGGGCTGCATGGGACTTCACATGACTGGCGGTCTGGCCAGTTTCTCACACATACAGGGAGGAAAATCCACACTGCCTGCCACATCTCACCACCTGCTCCTCCCCAGCTGCAGACGGGATCCCCTAGCTCACCATGTTGTAGTTTCTCTGATCACTGAAGCTCTCAGCTCAGATCCCTGCAGCTGCAACTGCACCACAGCACAAAACCGCTGGCTCCTCTTCACAGCAAAGCCTGAAGCCTGGTGACCGGAAGAGCCCTGTACCACTTCTGACTGGCAGCTCACATGGAGGGCCTGATTGGATAGTGATGCTTGAGTGACAAGCATACCTCCCATAGGGTTAGACTGTGATTAAAGACACAGTATTGTGGTTCCTGGCCACACCTCCCAGAGAATTAAAAAAAAAACCTTTTCCAGATCTGCAAAGATCTGCATTTCAATAGCACTGGCCCCTGGCTCGGGTTGCTGACCCTGCTATCTTCCTGGTCTCCATAGGAACTTCCCTTTGTCCTCCTGTATACAATTGAAAAGTTTCCACACCCCAATATGCAGCAATCCTAATCAGACCTCATCAAACTGAATTAGAAAAAGCTCACTTTTAAAGGATTCAACCCTCCCGAATTGCCTTCCAGCCTCACAGAAAGGAGAAGGGAAAAGGAGACAGAAACATCAAAAGTCTGATCTCTGGGGGTCTGTTTAAGTACCCTGCGGGTGTGTCAGTGAGTGTCTTTGGGGGAGGGGTTGTTATTTGACATTATGTTGCTTTCTGAGATGCAGCTGGTTTTGGAGGAAGATGGGGGAGGGAGGCTTGGGTGGAACCTCCACCATAACATTGCAGACTCTGGGTATATGGAATCCAGTAGTTAGAATGAATCTCCCCCATAATGATAATGTGTCTAGCTACCTTGTGCATCCTCTCCCACATGTGGAAGAGTGCCTAGAATATTAAAAATTAAAGAGTGATTTAAAGCCACAAAGGGAGATGTTTGTTCATGCTTTCATGTTGAGGTCAGATGAACTGAAGATACGTTCTTCATGGTTGTCACAGGGACTTCAGACAACTAGGAAAGAAAAGAAACAAGCAGATCTTAAACAAAAAATACGTCTTCCCCCTTCAGAAGGCTGGAAGATGGCTCCATAGCTTTCAGTTAATTCCTGAAATTCAGAGCAAACTCTAGGAAATGAATAATAATAGAGCAGTGGTCATGGAAACTTGAATACTTAGAGGATAATGAGCTAGGAAGAATGTGTTAAAGAGCTCCAGGGGCAGTTACACAACACTACTTATATCTCTAGGGGCAGGTGAAAAAATGCAGCTGCATTATTTAAGGTTCTCTATGGGAACTGGATGGTAGAGGGCATCTCTCCATGTATCTATGTATTAGATTTATTAGAATGCCTCACAAGCTGAGGGCCAGGTAGTCTTATCAATGGAAATTTGAAGAATCCAGTAGATCATTTCTCAGCCTTTGGGCTATTTCACATGAAGGATCCAGTAACTGTTCAGTCCATGGTGATGGACATGTCAGCTTGTCTCCTTATACACAACAATTCCAAAGAAGTAGGCACTAATGATAGGAAAGGATTGAAGTTGGTAATTGTTGTGCACAAGTTTAAAAGTCCCCAGAGACCACAAGGAAGACAGACCCACTAAATTACAAAAGCAATGTTTCAACTGTATTGATTCTTCATCCAACCATAACAGGGACCCTGTTTAGAAGCTGATGCAGCAACCTTCGGAGGGAGAGAAGTTCCCTGTCTGCTGCTAGGTTTTAAAGACAAAGGTTACAGGTTTCCATCAGCAGGTACAGTTTGCTTTCTGATTGGTTGACATTTGGGAACAATTAGGAGAATATTTTAAAGTTATATTTTGGCATGGAATACCTGTGTACCAATTATTTTCATTGGTCAGTGCTGAGAGGGAACATTCTGTGGTTTCTATGGCACTATATTGTTACTTGCAGGTGGCCTGTTGCACATAGATACCAATAGTTTTCAGAACTGTATCCTGGAGACTACAAGGGAGATTTTGGTCTCCCCTAGAATTTCTTTTGGGGCCAAACCATTCCCCATTCCCAGCAACCAAATATCTAGGAGGCTGTGTGTGTGTGTGGGGGGGCGATTCTGGAGTTTCTTTGTGTTCAGTTTTTGCCCTAGGCTCCAGACTCCAGAGGATCTGGAGTTTCCCTGTGTCAGAGGCCTATGTGTCCTTTCTGTAGCCTCTCATGGCTGCTAAAGCAGGGGCTGAGTGAGGATCTTTTCCTTTTATTACTAAATTATAAGAAGTGAATCCTTTGATTTTGTTTACTCCTTTTATTCCTCCTCCTCTCATAGGTAACCCAATCCTGGGTTACTAGTTGACAATTTGTATTGTTATCTTGTCCCCCTATGTAAGTGAGTTTTCTTTTTGACTTAGCATCTCAATGAGGGAAAAGGAGCAACATATTTTTTTTTCTGTGCTACTTCCTGCTGACTTTGGGATGTCATAGTCAGGGGCCCAAGTAGGCTGAAATGCTAGCCAAAAGCAAAGAAGTAATACAGACAATGGAGTATTCATCAGAAGCAACTGGTTGTTAGACTCTCTTGAATAAATGCAGTGTTCACATGGGCTGTACTGGTTCATATCCATAGCAAATCTAGAGCTGTCAGTCTTTAGGAACAGGCTGTAGTCAGCAACTGATATTCAGATGTGTCTGCCAGAAGGGGAAATCTGTTTATGACATGTTTAATTTGGGAAGAGAAGTTAACACTTATATACTAAATCAGAACTCTCAGCCCCACAAATTTAGTGATCAGGAAGGGTAGGAGGAGGAGAAAAATCCCATCCTCAGGAACAGGAAGATGGGATAACAAAAGCTGTACTTATCTGGAATCCTTTTGACCTGTGAGATGTGGATCCAAGCTTTATGACTTTTGATACTCTTAAGCCAATATGGACTTTATTAAAAAGACAAAAGTTTCAGATATATTATTATTATTAATCTGTACCAATATCTATATTGTAGAAAAAGCAGGTATCAGCTATCTGTAAAACAGCAGGAATGAACTCATACCTTTGAGTCCTAGCAAAAACTTCAGGTTTGAGTAGGAAGCTTGCACATTTTTCTTCTGTCCTGTAAGTCAGGTATAGATTGGACAGAGGTGCCTTTGGCCTGATAAAAAGCCCTTTTTGTTTATATTTTCATGACAACCAGCATAAACCTAAAAACCTTAAGCTTGTGACTGAAGAGCAGGTAGTCACTGTTCTTGCTTTTTTTTTTTTTTTTTTGGAGACAGGGTTTCTCTGTATTGTTTTCTGGACAATCTCTGTGTGTTGGTCTGGAACTCACAGAGATCCGCTTGCCTCTGCCTCCCAAGTGCTGGGATTAAAGGCGTGCACCACCAATGCCCAGCTAGGTAGTTACTGTTCTAAAAGCTTATCAGAACTTCACTAAATGAGCTATTAAGCTGCCTACTGTTTAACTGTTGGGGAAGTCCTGTGCTTTTGTCAATAAAGACTGTCTGGCCAATAGGAATCTAGATAGGTGGGGCTAGGAATCCAGGAGGATTCTGGGAAGGAGAAACACAAGAGAGTTTGAGATGTAACGCCATTGGGGTAGGAAGCCCAGAAACCTCTCCGGTAAGAAACATACTTAGATTAACAATTATGGGGTAATTACTTAAGTCAGAGCTAGCTAGTAAGAAACAAGCAAGGCCAACAGCTTCATAATTTAGCCTCCTGTGTGTTTATTTGGGACTGATGTGGATCTGGAACCAGGCGGGCGGGAAGGCTCCACTCAAGGAAAAAGCTTCTCTTAACATTTAACCATTAATACTATCAGAGATCTGAGAAGTATGAACTTTATACAGTTTCTGAATGTATTAAAAATGACAATGTCAAGTCCATATGAAGTTAGCCACACCCAAGTCTCCATTAGCAGGTAGAAATATCAAAGCATCAATCTTGGACAGGTGAGACTGTTTTGTTTTGTTTTTTTTTCTGTCTGTGGAAGAGGGACATGGCAAAGACTGACCTCATTTTGTCTAGGTAAAAGGGGTGCAATCAATTTTCCAATGTCCTGTCTCTTGTCCACTGTCTGGGCCAGGTCTTGGGGCAGCATTGGGGCATCCTGTCCCCTGGTCACCATTCTTTAGACATCAAGGTGATCTATAATCACTTTTGGAGATTTTGGGTCACTGTCAGGATTTGGAGTTCTCTGTATGATAGTATAAGTTTTTTTAGTTAACATTTAAAATTTTGTATATCTCTGGAAGCATTAGGAGTGTTGTCTAGGTAAATCTGCATAGACAACTTTGTTTGCAGTTATTTGTTTTAAGCTTAATCTTTGAAAACATATACAGGGGACTGAGTAAGTTTTATCCCTGTTATAAATTTTTTCTGTACTTCGTATGACTACAATGACATTAGTGTAGGATCGGTCTGGAGAACTGGATTTAAACTGAGAGGCTGTAGAGGGATATTTTATTTAGAGCCACCCAGCCAGACTGTAACTGGTTTTACCTTAGCAAACAGACAGGACATTTAAAGAGACATAGTAACTTAAAACTGTCAGTGACAAGAATGTAGAGCATCTGCAGATGGAACATGCAGGATTTTTGCTTGTATTCTCTATGTTAGTTAAAACATTAAAAGATACCTATGGTGATCACCTTATTCATCACATTTTAATGTCTATCAAATATGAATGAGAAGACATGATTTAGTTCATAGTAACTCAGGTTCTCATTCAAGGTGAGGAGTATACCACCAACATGGTCTATGAAAAACCAGAGTCAAGACGTACCTTGTCCAATCACGGACTAGTGTTTTCTATGTTTGTAGTTTCTTGTGCAGGGTATTATCCCTGAACATTACATCATTAGCCAATAAAATGCATTCAGAACTTCTACTACCCAGGAGCTAAGGCCAGAAATCTCAGGAATAAACCTTAAATGTGCAGTTGTTCTCAATATCTCTTGCTCTGAAAGTAAATGTGAACCATTATCTTTGGTCAAGATGAGTGAGTTCTTCCTAACTCTCTGCCCTGTTACCACAGGCAGTAAAGGGCCATGTTCAGCTTTCTGGGCAGTTAGCATATGAGGGGCTGTGTTCTGAGCTCTTCCCATACAGAAGCTGCTTTTTCCTTTTCACAATCCAATGGTGTTTCCATTAAAGATGAGAAGTCTAAATTGTAAAGAAATACAATGTTTTGCCCAGGATTTGTATTTAGGCATCACATCAGGTATGCCTTTTCCTTTATTATAAATAT